GTTAAAATATTGGAATAACAAATCCCCAGTTTCTAGCAAGGAGTAAGAGCTTACTTGTTTGTGTAAAGCTTTGTCTTTGATTGTAATCCAAGGGTGCTACTGTAACAAATAATATCAAGTAGACAAGCATAAAAGAAAAAGGTAAAAAAAAAAAGCCTGTGGTACTAATGGATACGGCAGAATAAATCTGATGTTATTTGTCTCTATTTATTGTGTCAGTTGTTTTTCTATCCAGTTGAACTCTTGTTAGTATCATTTACCTCTTCTACTAAATTGGGTTCATTTGAAAGATGCAATCTCAGTAAAAGTGCTGTTGCCTAGTGTTTAGTTGGGTTTACTAAAACTTAATACTGTGAGACTTAATGGTGAAAAATAAAGCTGTTGACTTACCACAGATTAAAACCAGACATCTCTTGAGATCCTTGCCTTTCTCGCTAATCACTAACCCAAACTGACTGTGGTAGGTTTTTTTCTGGTCATGACCATAGTTTTACCAGTCTGTGTTTGGTGTGATCTAAGTGAACTGCCGGCTTTCCCCCCCTCTTGTAATTTTAAATGCATGGCTTTTTTTCCCAGGAATGTCTGGCTACAAAAACACTTCCTCTTCCCCCCATCTCCCTTGTATTACAAACGGTTGATTTAGATGCAGATTCTCTTTAATCTTCAAATCAGATAAAAGGCTGGAAAAGTGGATAAATGAGGTTTGGAAAACGATAGGTTGTGGAGATGAGAAGCTATTGCATTGTGTTCAGTCCATTAAAACAAGAAGAAATAGAAAAGATACTTTGATAAGTGTTCTGCTGGTATTAACCTTGATGGCTGTTATCGGGGGGGATGATGCTATATCTATTTCATTGGCTTAAGCTTTTTTCATGCTGAGAGAAATCAATACTTTGAGTCGTTGGATGACAGAGGCATCACTTCAGAATTGACGGTGGCTGTCAGATGTTGTCATTGGTTGACTTTTGTTCGCTGTTGAGGTTTTAAGCTTTCATTTTTCTAAGTCTTATTCAGGAGTCTTTGTAAGATTTCCCTGGGTAGCATTTTTAGTCCAGACTTTAAACCTCGGTCAGAGGTCAAGTGCAAAGATCTGTGGAAGCAGAGGATTGAGGAGCTCCTTAATTTACTAGAATATCATTATTTGAAGGGAATTTGCGTTAGTGGCAAGACTGTGCGTTATCTTGTGGATGACTTTTTCTCTTAAATGACACCCTCTGAGACAGGTTGTTCACAAAGCAAGTAGCTTTTAGCAAAATTAGACAAAGGAATTGGCATGTGTAGAAGTGTTCAGGGATCTCTGAGTTGAAGAATAACAGTAAAAAGGTGCAATATTGCTTTTAAAAACCCTACGCTATAAATCTGTTTTGTAGTTTGTAGAAAGCATTACATTGTAATTTTGGGACTGCAAAGGTGCACATGCAGAAGGTATCTTGCAGAGGAAATCTTTTGCTTGGCATTTGTATAAAGATCAAAGATAAAATAGTTCTGAAAACACTAGGTTACTCCTCCACTGAAATATAGACAGGCAGAATAGACATTCACCTTGTCAGTATTTTGCAGTAGTATTTCTGGAATCTTTCTTGCATACAGAATGTATTGTATTTTCATATCTATAACTAGTCTTTTGAATGACCTTGTTCTTCTTGGGAATTACTGTTCCTTAAAAATTAATCTTCAGGTAACCTACATGTTCAAATAGCCTGCAGTCTTGTCCAAGCAGGGAACAGGAGAGAAGAAAAAAACGTATTCCGCTCTGTGATAATGACAGGAGAGGTTTCTGTTCCATCCTGGATGAGGGAGTAGAACAAGGTCTTTCCTCTGCTCCGTGCTATGTCAAAGGATTCTGCTTAATACACTTGCCCTTTGTAAAACTTAAAATAGCCACTGAGTTTAAGACTTCTTGTAGATAACCTGTGGAGTGAATATATATGAAAATACATTTTTCTCCTTTCAGCATTTTTTTTTCATCATGAGTCTGACTGCAGTAATTCTGTGGTTATACTGTCATTACACACTTGCCAAGATAACAAAAAATATGTAGGCCAAAGCACTAGTGGAAGGAAGAATTTACAAATTCATTTGCATGCAACTGTATATCTCATTGTAAAACCATATTCAAGCATGACAGGGTACATATTGCAAGTGCAAGAGATCAAACCATAAAGAAGTAAAACTGTAAAAATGTATTTTTGAGTTTGTGCACAAACAGAAATCAAGCTGAATTTTTATTTTACATAAATTGAATGATTGGGATTTAGTGTGAAGTATTCACATGTACCACTCTATCTTGGTATTACATTTCTGGAAGTAGTAGATCAGGTGAACCTGAAGGCATCTGGAAAATGAAAAAATGCAGGAGAGAAACAGACTCTAGTGCTTTCAGAACAGTCTAGTGGTGTCTGGCTGTTTTGGGATGGGTCTCGTTCAGTTTCTTTTGGTGGAGCCAATCTTCTTTCACTCCTGTATTAAAATTTATTTTAGAAGGCGGGGGGGAGAAATTGCTTCTTTTTTGCTGAATATTTGGCATATATCATTGGTAGGGACCACTGAACAATTGATGAGTCACCTGTACGATCAAAGAGAAGATTATTCTTGCTAAACTTTCTTTATGTTAGTAAGTATATATGCACGTGCCAGACATTTGGCAGAACTGTGGCTTCTTTCTGTTCTTGTTTGTAAAATATATATTGTAAAGAGTGTGCTGTGGTTAATAGTCCCTCCTGGAGTGATATTATGATTTTATGGGATTGCTGCTTGTGGGAGTCTCTCAGTTTTGGAGGGTAATTGTAAATTTCTATTCATATTAAATGCTGAATTTGCCGAAGAGTGGAGTCCTGTACATTTCCGTTTTGTAAAGGCTGATTCTGTTTTCGTGGAAGTTGTCAGGACAATAAAATACCATTTCTTCCTTCATTTGAATGTCACAGCTACACTTTAAAAATCTTTGTTGGTATTTAATGAAGGATGTGTTCAAAATTACATCATAAAGAGACTTTTTTCAAAAGAGGTAGAAGTTCATTATATCTTTTACAAAACATTCTAGTTTGATTTCCATTTTATCATGTTTTAAGGTCAAATGTGACTTTAATGTTCCATAAAGAGACAGAGATTGATAATGGGGAAAGAATAACCCTCTAATGTGATTTATATGTATGGATTTTATGTCAGATATGAAAAGTTGCTGTTCAAATTGTAAAGGAGGATCCATTAAAGAGCACTTTAAAACATTTTACTACTTTGCTTACCTTATACACTTGTTTTTAGAATTCTGCCCTTACAGGCAACTTAAAAATAACAGCTTATGAAACATTTACAAAGTGCTGAAAAGAACTTAGAACCATTACGGGTGCAAAACAGATGAATGTATTGGAAAAGACAGCTGTATTTAAAGAGAGCTAAAAAAATCTTGTTTAGTGGTGGTTATGATTTAACCATCTTATACTTTTGTGAAGAGGGTGGCAAAGTGCTTCATGTAGAAGTACAAAAGCCAATTTTTCATGTCTCATTGACTTGGAAAGTCAGCTGCTCATTCTCCACCACTCCTGGATGTCTGTTCATCAGGTGAGCTTTGCTCTAAGGCGTGGGAAGAATTATGAGGAAATTTGTAAATATGTTAAAATTGTTAAAATAGCTCTTTAAAATTTATTCTTCTGTTAGTACATTTTTGTTATCTGTCTATGAAAACCTATACAACCCCAAATTTTACTTGTGTTTTTTCCATATTCTTCCTCTCTCTCACTTTATGACATATATATTTGTATATACACATATATAAATAACATTAGTAGCCTACTTATTTTATTTCCAGCAGTTTTCTAATGCTTGTACATACAGATAGATTTTTATAGAAAAAGCATTGCTACTGTTTTAAATGTAAAAAGCATAATGACATCATGCTGTTATCTAAGCTCTAAGAAATAATTGTACTAGTGTCTGCATCAGCTGTACTTCACAAAGAAAGGGCAATTTTTGTTGTTGTTGTTAGGCAGACATTTGTGTCCATTCCACTAACTAGATCATAGAATAATCCAGTCATTGACAAAGGCTGAAATGCTTTGTGTGGCGTATGCGATCTGTGGAATTGCCAGCCAAAAACTGAAATTAGAAACAGGGAGTGCTGAAGTGGGGAAGAACCTTTATTGTTTCTACCAATACGTGAATTTGTTATGGGTCTTCATGTACAGTGGTTTGATGATGGGGTGATCTAAATTTGGTGCCTGTTTTTCAAGTTCTGTATTAAAGGACAAATTTTCAGAAGATCAGTAAAAATCAGAATGATAAGACAAAGTTGTAACAGAAAGTCTTTCATAGTTTGAGTTCTATTTGTAGCTGTGACTTTCAGTTCTTATTTGCTAGTGTTTGTTTTTGAGTACCTTGGCAAACAGAAGATGTTTATACAACAGGTGTAGTACAGCTAGGAAAATGATTAACTTTCCCATGCTGGCCTGCAAATGTGCTCAACTTCAAGAAGCCATCTGGTAATGATCGATTCAATCTTCAGATGCATCTTAACTTGTGTCTAACTGAAGATGTAGATTTTCTCCTTAGTTTTTATAGTTATGTATTTACACAAAGCACAGCAAATGGTTGGCTACCCATATCTAGTGGAGAGTCACGGAGTGGTCATCTAGCTGGTATTCATTATTCTGAAACTTGCCACTTTGTTTTATAATGCTATTCACTTTGTTATAAAATAGAAGTGGTTGTGCCCATGTGTTTTATTATGCAATCAGGCCACTAATCTGTTGGTGTTTGCTAAATCTTGAGTGTGTATGCTATGTGGTTAAAGAATCCATGAGAAAGCCAAGAACCTCTGCTTGGCTCTCTGGACAGATTTACTGTGGGCAGCTGCGCAGTGCCTCGATTCTCAAAACTGTAAAATGGGGTTAATTCTTATTTCTCAAGGGTTTTGTATAAGTAATTAATTACGAAATGCTTCAAAGTTCCTTTGGATGGTATAATTAAAATGCAAAGTAATAAAGTCTTTATTTTCTTCCTAGTCACTGTGTGCCCAGTATTCTGCAGACAAACGAGAAGAAGAAAAAATGTGTCATCATTTGATAATGGCAGCTAAGTACCGAGACCAGGTGACTGCAACTCAACTAATACAGAAAATTATCAACATTCTGACAGACAAGCATGGAGCCTGGGGAAGCTCTGCACCAAGGTAAAGCAGGTTTGACTTGTTTTTAAACATTTTTGAGAACTGGGCTGTGCTCAGCAGATTTGAATTAATGTCATGGTCAAATTTAAAGGTAAACAAGGTTTTTCAGGGTTTTTTTTCAAAAACATATAATGTGAAAAAGGTAAAATGAATGTGTCAATGTTTAGTATGGATGAATGTCAGAGAATTAGTGTTTTGTTAGAGAAGTAAAAAACAGGGTGATTCTCTTGTGACTTTAAACTTTGCTATAACAATGTGATAGAATTTATTTTGAATGTCCAATTCTACCCCTGTCATTTATTTGAAAAATATTTTTTAAAAGTAAAGACAAACAAACATCTCTTTAAGAAAGGAAATTATGAGTTTTGTATTAGTAATTTCAAGGGTAAAATGTTACCATCAGATTAATTCTCCTTTTTGAATTCTCGGTATGTATCTTCATTACAGTGACACTTGTCTAATTTCTTTAGCACAAGTCACAGCTAAAGTTTCACTTGCAAATCTAAAATACAAGTTCAAGTCGTTGTAGTACATCCTTAATTAAGTCTTAAGAATAACTGGAACCTAATTGGAACATAGCCACATTGAATATGGTAGTATAGTGAGATACTGTTATTTGAATGCAATGGAATAATAAGCATGGGAGCGATACATGAGTAGACAACAAACTGTTTTTCCCAGTAACCTTTATTCATTGTTCATTTACTGCTTGTTTTTTGGAAAGACAGAAAAATATTCCCAAGCACTAGTAACTTCTATAACGTAAAGTAACATAAAGAAAATGTTATGAATATAATTAATTGGAAGTATTAAAATTAAGAGTTGTGATATTACAGAATAGAATGTCCGTTTACTGTAAATACCAGTTTTGGGCTCCAGTTTATAAGGTTGAAAGTGAAAAGTCGAAATAAGTGTTTAATGCTGTTTTTCTTTTGTTAAGTAAATTATGCTTAAATATAAAAAGACTGTTTCAGAAAAAGTATTATGAGGGTGTAAAAAACCCAGTCTATATCAACATTTCTAGGCATTTTTAATTACTTAATTCCATATAATTTTAAAGTAAGGCTTGCATTATGATTGTCTAAAACCAGATTTGTTTAAGTACTTTGTATGTCTGTAGTTTTTATGAGTATGTATCTTCTGGCTTTGTACATCTGTTTGTGTGTCTGGCTTTAAAACTATCATTACTGTCTTTTAACTATGAAGCGGAGAATCCTACTTGCTATTTAGGTGTATTTTGCTTGTTGTGATAGTGTTGGTATAGTTTGTGAGGGAAAAGCGAAACAGATAAAATATTCCATGCTTGAAGGATAACTATTTTCAGTTAATCCTCAAATAAGGTTTATGTGATCAGCTTGTAAATTACAAAGTACACAAAACACAGACATGATAATTTCCATTTGATAATAATGATCTACAGCAAAATGAATATTTCACATAATACACTTTGCAACACACATAATTCTAGAGGTTAAAATGGCATTAGACACAAAACAAAATCTCTTTATAGGAACGGCTGAATGCATTTAGTCATAAACACATAAAAAATAAATGTATGCAATGATTGTAATTCTAATGAAATATTTTAGTAAGGGGGCTAAATTAATGTTTTCTGGCATATGTTTTATTTTCCTTCAAAATAATGTATTCTTTTTTCTCATGTAAATTTAATAATTTTTAATATTTGGTTTGTGGTATTTTTGCTTTTCCTCCTCCTTTGGAATCCATATAATTGCTTGTAGCCATGGCTCTGAAGGCCTAATACTTTCCCATTAATGTCATTTATTTTGTTTCAATATTGATGGCTTTTCTAATGCCATACGATCAGTGGGCTGCAGTGCTGGCAGCTGGCCTGGGATCGGCAGTGGTTTTAATAAATCACAATCAGACCCATGCCATTACATCAATATTTTTAGTCAATTATAGAGAAGGTCAGGTGCTACATTCAGTATAGGAGCCCCAGCATGTGGCATTTGAGAAACATCTGGTGCTGCAACAAGACTGCAAGCCGGGGGAAAAAAGAATCCAATTTATCCTATCTAAAGAGACCAAATGAAATCTGCTGCTTTATGGATAACACAATGATGATTATAGCCATTTTGAACATGTTATACTTGCTAGACTTAATACCCTTTATATAGATATATTCCCAAAAGTTTCCATTCAATAAAAACTGAAAATGAAAATATTATTTTCTCAGAAGCAGATGGGAATTGTTGTTTTCTCACAGCAGGCATCTAATATCTTTTGACACCTAGTGACCTGCCTGAATGCAATTTGTGTCTTAATATCCAGCTTACACCAGCTTTTGCCACATGAGAGAGAACAAGCAAGCTTTTTCCTCTACTTGAAGTCCGAGCTAGTGGCTTGGCAAGCAAAGAAGGTATTCCTTTCTTAGGGCTCTGATATCTGTATGCCCTTTACTGTCATTGCATTTTTTTCCAAATGCTTAGAGATTTCAGGAAATAATGGGACAGACAAGTACCTGTTCATCCATACATTACTGTCACCTGGAGTGAGGCTCAGGTGAAAACTGAGAGTGCCTGATAAGAATGGCAGAATAAGCAAGAAAGAGGCCACAAATGAACAGAGTGGCAGAAGTAATTTTTTTCTGGTGCATAGAACAGGCATTGTGTTTATTTGGGTCAGGAGACAAATCATCTTTCATGTAGATGACACCTGGTAAAGTGGCTGAATGTAAGAAGGATGAGGAGAGATGATGGAGAACACTGGATGGAAGTCTCAGAGGACATACTACCCTTTTCTCATATCGTCCTTCATTGCATTCTAATAGGCTGACTAATGTACCATGGAAATTCACTCTTGGTATTAGAGGGGAAAAGGGTGGTACTCTTCTCGGAAAAATGCATAGGTAGAACTGCAGACATAAATTATTTTAAAAGCAATAAGGTTTAGGAATTTTTAAGAGAACCTCTGTATATCAAGATTCCTGAATGCTTTTGATTAGTTTGGGAGACTGAGTTTAGGCTCAGGTTTCGGTTGCTTAAGAAACTCTGTTTCAGATTGGTTGAATGTGTTCTAATGGATGCCCTCGAGCAAGAGGCGTCTCTGCCTTAGAGACATTCATCTTTTTTCCTGTGTCACAGGCTTGCTGGTAAAATCTTTGTGATGCTCTCTCCAATTTTTCTTCAGTAAATCAAATCTTCCTTCTTTCAGAAAGATGAATGCTGTAAGGTTGGGGTGTTATAAAAAAAAATCAATGCAGACAAAATTGAAACAGTATGCCGTGGTATTGATTGGCCTTGTGAAATCGAAACTAACAGCTTTGTAACTGTTCCAGTGGACAGTTAGCTGACCTGTAATGGACAAACTATCAATATTAGCATTACTATTTTATCTTGTACTATGTCATTTTAGAATCCAGAGTCCAAGGAAAGAGAGGGGTTGAACTGAATTTTTAATGTTACTTATAAGAGCTTGTTTTATTCTTGTCCTCCCTGCAGTTGTTTGCAGATGACAATTACTAACGTATTCTGGGTTTTTTTCTGAAATTTTTATTTCTTTCAGTGGCTGCAATAATTTTTCACCTGTTCTCTGGGAAATTTTCTATCAATTGCATTTTCAAATAGTGGTTGATTATTATTTGAAGAAACAATGCTAGAACATGGCGTTGATAGTTTTCCTGAGGTTTTAATTGTATAAAAATTCAGGTTAGATATTCTGGAGCATTTTCTTTTTTTCTCCCTTGAAATAAATTCTGGCATTGGATTTGTTTTAAAAAATAAATGTTGAGTATGCTCAACAGTGTCTCAGACCATTATCTTGTGACATAGTCATTGGTACATAGATTTTTAAAATTCTGTGTCCCGAGAGTAAATGTGACGTGATGAAGATATATAATTTTTCATCAGTCTTAACTTCTTCAAATGCTTTTATTCTGACTGCTAACCCACCCTGGGGATTTTGCATTTGACAACACTGTAAAATAACATTCATTGCTCTCTGTGGAGCTTTAGCGATGCTAAGAAATTCTTCATAGCCAGAATTGACAATAGCATAGCAAGATGACTTAATAAACCCTAGCATGTTCCTATTTGTGTTGTCCCTGAAAAGATATAAGACAACAGAAGCTGAAGCAAAATAGGGGGTGGAGGAAAGGTGGGCATAGGCAACCAGTGTACAGGAAGTCAGGGATTTTCTTTTTTAATGGTTTCTATGGAATCAGGATGAGTACATGCTTCTATTTAAATGTGGTACTTTTGTGCTTCTTTTTGTTAATATGTGGGTTCTACATTAAATTAAAAATAAACTGCCATGGATGATGTAAAGTTGCTTTCCACTATTACAGTGAGAGATCTTGGACATCTTAGTGGGTTAAAATGCTAACCATTTTTGGGTAAGTTCCAGTAAAGTTTTGATCATTTAGAGAGATATAGCATTACAAAATCAGTATTGATAAACAAGCATTTAAAAAGCATAGCATTCAAAAGCTTTAGAACTCATGGGTTATGTGATTTCTTTAACCAGAGGGAGAATGAAACTGCTCATTTTGTCTCAATAGTCACCTGTGTTAGCAGAATCCAGACTGGGTGTGCCTATCTTCCATTGTGGCTTTTTCCAAAGAGGCAACTTTCGAGACAGAGCTGAATTTGAAAGGGGTTTTATTAGTAAATATGAAGAAAACTTTTTTTTTTTTAACCCGGGCCTAATATACTGAAGGGCTGCATGTAGATTTCTTTCAAGAAGGGACAAGTTAAGAATTTTTGTGAAATTTATTTACTTTCATTCTAGAGAGGTATTATGTTTTAGCAGAGATTACAAAATTAAAATGTGTAAAGCACTGTCACATGTGAGACTGAATGCAACAACTTCAGAGGAAGCATTTTCATCTTTCATTCAGCAAATTCTGTTGTATCTCAAGCTGCAAATCTCTTTTAAATAGTTAATTCAGTTAAAATCAAAACAGAATAATAATAATGAAAAAATCTCACTTTAGAGGTTCCATTACAGTATTATTTGTTTATAACTTTAATTCCTCACTA